AAAAAAGACAGTAGTAAACAGAAAAAAAAAATAGAGTGATGAAAGTCAAAGGCACATCATAGAAGCATCAGATGAACTAAATGGTGCCCCGCTACCACTACTCATGACGAAGCGGAATCGGATTAGGTCTTGGATAGCGGGAGAAGTGGGGACCCAAACTCAGAATCATGCCGAGCAGGCTGATTGGCTGATGGAGACTGATGGAACTCCTGAGACTAAGGCTTGAGTCGCTCTTCAAGTCTGGACGACAGTCCATCCCCGCGCTCTAACCCCTCCCGCCCCGGCATCAGGCTTCTGCCGAGCAGCAGCCAGGTGGACAAGGGTAACTGCAAAGCATTAGGATGGCCAAGCATTTGAGATCAAAAAGGCAGCGTATGCAGCGGTTACAGTCCCACAGGCTTAGGAAGGAGGAAGAGGGGCGGTGGCTCAGTAGAACAGCTTGAATTTTTCACCCTAAATTCCAGCATAATTTTATAATATGTGGGTTCCTTTCACCTAATTAAATCTATCACGGGGACATGGGCAGGGCTGCTCTCCGCCTTTCGGCACCATCCGGACGCGCTCTTCATAGTGGATACAGCCGTGGTTGTCCCCGTGCCCTGCCACCTCGTGCCCTGCCACCTCAGCTGCTTCGGCTGTCATCTTCTCCATCAATGTGACGAGAACTTACTGGATTTCAGCTCCATGACAGTGCCCTTCCCTTCTTTGTCAAACACCTGAAGGTCTTTAATGTAGTCCTCCGAGGTGTCCTGGTCTTTGTTCTGGGCCTTAGTCTGCAGCAGGGGCAGGAAGCGCTCAAAATCCAGCGCCTTTGCATGCCTCTCATGATTGAGGCTCCCTGGGACCCTGAGCACATCAGCATTGATGGCGTCTGACCCAGGGCCCTCAACACATCCCCACACTGGCTGTCCAGGCTGTTGCCATCACCTGTTTGATCAAACTGCTGGAAGACGACCTTAAACTCCAAGGTCTAGTCCTCGGGGAAGTCACAGATCTTGACTGCTCAGGTGTTGGGACCTTTTCCTGCAGGAACGGCCAACA